TAAAGATTTACAGCCTCGGAAACCCTGTACAGGGTCGCTATGAGTCGGAACCGACTCCACGGCACATAACAACAACAACAACACTAAGTGGGGAAGGATAAAATTTCAAATTTTTATAATTACCACCATAATTTAGTGTTTGTTTATGTGTAACAGATGAAGAATTGATTTACAGCAGTTTAAGTGTAGCATGAGTTTATATTCTTGGCTGTGACTTCACACTCTTAAAATGCTTTTTAAATGACCACAGATTAAATGTCTACTCCGAATAGAAGATTTTTCAATCTTTGAAAATTCTGCAAATGCTTCCTAGAAATTCCATACCTAAAGCGAGTGGCTTGCCCTATGAATGTTTACTTCAGCTGTTCCATGTTATTGCCTTACTTTGCAGAAGGTTAAGCACCTTTAGTGTCACTTTGGTTTTGAGTAGATTGCTATGGAGTAGAGGACACAAGGATGTTATTCTCACCTTTGACACAGACATTCTTTTTAGGACATGTGCATGAGATTTGTCTATAAATAACAAGGGAAGCAATGATACTTTTTATAATCATTGCCTTAATCTAAACTTAAGAGCTTTTCCATCCCCTTCAAAACAATTTCAGTAAAAGCTGACCAGTAGTCCCAATAAATCAATGCTCCATGGTTGAAATTATTTGGGGGGGGGGCGGGGGGGTCCCTCTTTGTAGGCTGCTATCAGAGCTACTTTGCAAGCCAACAAGAAAACCAGTTCTTTATTTTTAGTGTCATCTCATTTCTGGCTAAATCTGAATGTTCCCTCCAAATATCAGAGTTTGACGTGGTATGACTTTTATCTGTCTTAAAAGGAAATCAAATCCGTTATCAAAATGTCAGGGTCTGTAGGATCAGCAATGGGCTGTAAACCACTAGGTTGGGACTACTATCCTTGCAGTTGGCAGTCCACTGCTTGTTCTACAGTGCCACAGCTTTAGCTCCTCAGAAACCCGATACAGGGTCACTAGGAGTTGAAACTGACTCAATGGCACTTACAAATCGGGCTGCGAACCTTAAGGTCAGCGGTTCGAAACTACCAGCTGCTCTGCAGGAGAAAGATGAGGCTTTCTACTCCCGTAAAGATTTACACCCTCGGAAACCCTATACAGGGTCGCTATGGGTCGGAACCGACTCGATGGCACATAACAACAACAACAACAATGGCACTTAAAAGGAAAAACTCACCATTTAAGACATTTGAAATATACAAGGGAGCTTCAAATATTCATGGAAAAATTATGTTGTCTTTCTAATCCTGTTTTAACACAAACCTTGGGTTCCAGAAGTGTGATGATCCAACCTCAAAGAAAACAAAACACACACACACAAACTCACTGCCAACGAATCGATTCCAACTCATGGCGAGCCTGTTAAACAGAGTAGAACTGCCCCATCAAGTTTTCAAGGCTGTAAACCTATAAGTAAGCACCCTGTTTCATCTTTCTTTTGCCGAGTGGCTGGTGGATTCGAACTGCCAACCTTTTGGTTAGCAGCCCAACACTTAACACATGCTACCAGATCCAAATAGAAACTTTTTGATACAGATGACTCCATATGTAATGTATCTGGAAATCTATTAAAGAGCGTTAAGAAGTGTTACCTTTTTCATCCTGGAATTTAGCAATGCCCCATATAAATATTTTTTAACCCGCATTGTCAATTCCTTATCTTTTGGTTAACTATGACCCTCTCCTCCTGCCCCAGAACATTTTCTTCCCTCTTTGCATAAGACCATCTAACCATGGTCCATCTTATGTGTGTGTTGTTTGATTTCTAATGTTACCTTTAAATGCTGTGATGAGTTCCGACTCATAGCAACTCTGTACAGGTGACTGGTGGGTTGGAACCACCGACCTTGTAGTTGGCAGTACATTACTTATCCTATAGCACCACACCAGAATTCCCACCTTTAATAGTTGTTGTTAAGTGCTGTCAAGTCGGTTCCAACTCATAGCAACCCTGTATGGGGTTTCTGAGGAGTGGCTGATGAGCTTGAACCACCGACCTTGCAGTTCAAACTGACCTTGCAATCCAGCGCATTAACCAACAGTGCCACACCAAGACTCCTACCTTTAATTAGCTCTACTAACATGTGGTAGCGTAGTGGTTACTAATTGGGATGTGAACCGCAAAATCAGCAGTTCAAAACTACCAGCTGTTCCGCAGGAGAAAGATGAGGCTTTCTGCTCCCATAAAGATTTACAGCCTCGGAAACCCTGTACAGGGTTGCTATGAGTCGGAACCGACCCCGCGGCACATAACAACAACAACATCTATACTTCATATAGATGTTTGTGATTGTTTGGTTTATGATGTGAATTATGCATTCAAGTCTAGCTTTCTACTTGACTGTGTGTTGACATCATGAATGCCATGGCTTCGTAGGATAAGCACTGGACTGCTCACCTCAAGGTTGGTAGTTGGAGCCCACCAACTGCTCCATGGGAGAAAGATGAGGCTTTCTGCTTCTGTAAAGATTTACAACCTTAAAAACCCTATGCAGGATTGCTCTGAGTTAGAACCGACTTTATGGCACTTACCAACAACATGGTTATAATTTTGAAGCTATCCATTTGCAGGTACTGCACTGGGGACTTCAAGCTTAAATTTACTTAATCCTCATAACAACTTGCTGAGAGGAATATTTTTATTCTCACTTAACAGATATAAAGAAGTTTAAACTCAGAAGGGGCAAATAACTTGCCCAAAGTTCTAATATTGGTAAGTGGGGAAGGGGGCCTTCCTTGTACATTGTAGCGTGTGTCACCGCCTCCCTGGTCTCTACTGACCAGATGCCAGTAGCATCCTCCATCTCCCAGTGGTGACAACCAGAAAATGTCTCTAGGCATTGCCACATATTCTTATGGGGTATATGATAACCACTGATCTACTGCCAAAGTCATATTTTTTGCCACACTAATCCTAAAATATTAAATGTTGTCATTATTGTTAAGTGTCATCAAGTCAGCTCACTCATAGTGACCCTGTATAGGGTTTCTGAAGAAAGGATAGTGGGTTTGAACCACCTACCTTTACAATCAGCAGTCTAGTGCTTATCCTACTGGATTTTTAAATCAGTTTTAGGAGCTTCACATCTAAAGACTTTTAGAGACTATCTTTCCCCACTCAAAATGTTCAGGATCAGCGTTTGCCAGGCTGGGACAGGTACCTGTGTATTTTACATCTCTCCACTCTTTAGGAAGCACACATGTGTTCCCTGAATCATTCCACTCCATCCCTGCCAAATAGTCCTCCAGCCTTGGTTTAACACCTGCAGTGACTGTGTCACCGGAGACAATCCCACACCCCTTAGCTTTCAGAGACAATTTCATGTTCAGCTAATCCTATATGTATATATATATATAAAGTATCTGCTTAATAGTCTTCTTTGTGTTTCTCCATCTGTGCCCTTAACATTATCTTGTCCAAAGGATTGTTTTTCTCAAATCAGTTGAATTCAACAAACACCTATTGAGACCCAACTATGTCCTGACTCTGCTTGGGCTCATCTACAGTAGGCACGTTTGTGTTTAGGGAAAACCAAGGAAGAAGTGACATGTTAACCAGAATAAGCCATTTGAGGGTCAAAATATCAACCTGATGTCTTTAATATGATGTTCACTTTCTCCTGACAGAGTTTTATAAATGGACACTGACATGGACTACGAAAGGCCCAATGTTGAAACCATCAAATGCGTGGTTGTGGGCGACAACGCTGTGGGGAAGACGCGCCTCATCTGTGCCAGAGCTTGTAATACGACACTAACGCAGTACCAACTGCTGGCCACCCATGTTCCTACTGTGTGGGCGATTGACCAGTACCGGGTCTGCCAGGAGGTAAGATGGACGTAGTTTCAATGGATTCCTAAAGGTACATCACTGCTGTTGGCAGACTGATTTTAAAAAGAAGAAGAAATGAGATAGCTCCCATTCAAAACAAAACTACCCTAATGTTTAGTGCTACAAGATAAAACCAAACCGGAGTCCATTGCTATGCCCTTCTGAATGAGAGTGTGGGTTGTATTGAACCCAGGATGAGACTTAGAATTTTAGTCCCATTAATGGAATGAGAAAACTAAATGCATATGAGATAAGTGGGTACCAAGAGGGGCTCTCCGGTTAATCCTGAGCTTAGCTTCTGTGTCTCTCCTGCAGGTCTTGGAGCGTTCCCGGGACGTTGTCGATGAAGTGAGCGTTTCTCTCCGGCTTTGGGATACCTTTGGAGACCATCACAAAGACAGGCGTTTTGCATACGGCAGGTAAGCTAAGACTAATGCGGTGCGGTTGAGCTTGAGTGAAGTTTCCTAGTACCTAAACCAGCAGCTGGTGAAAAGCACATCATATAGCCTTGGGTTCTGCCCTGCATCTAAGAAAAGAAACAACAACAGAAAAACATTGTTTCCTGATGTCCACAAAAGCAGAGTCTCCCTGCCACACTGTGCCTCTCAGGAAAGTACCTTGTGTTTTTGTTTTGTTTATTTTAGTAAAAAGAGACAAGAGTGCTAGTTTAAGCTGCAGAGCTTGCTAGATGGAGGAATCTGTCATGCCCTGAAGCCTTGAGCCACTTTGATTGCAGTCCTGAATAATACTTCATTTGCCTCCTGTTAGAGTGTTTCATTTTAGCACTTGGCAGCCGCTCTTCAGAAGGTCTCTTTGGTCTTTTCATGACCATATTAGCCGAGTTTGATGTTATTTGCTTTTGGTTTTGTGTTCTCTGAAAAGCCTATTATTTTTATTTGAAGGTCATTTAAAAAAAAGAAAGACAAATATCTCTGAAGTCCTTTAGAAGGCACATTTCCAAGGCGCATTGAAACACTAATGTCTATTTTTCATCTAAAAAGAAATAAAAGGAAATATCAAGTAGAAGGAAGGTTAATCTAGAAGGGTACTGTTAAGGGTAGAAGCATTGTCAAAATGCCTTAAAATATTTAAGCAACTTCCTAGTCACCATGGCTTAGAGTCTTTCAGTGAGTGTGTTATACCTATTAAATGGGATATGAAAGGGCCTCGCTTTCCCTTAAGTTGCAAATATGTTCCTGAACACATTTCATTTTAAATTTAGAATGCAGGTGTCATGGATTTGTTGCCTCTTGTTAACACCAAACATTCTATTACTCCACTATTAAATTAGTTACTCTACAAACATGAGTTTCTTCTTACTATTGTGATACATACTTGAAAGCACTTCCATTATTCTCAAGCCAGTAGCTGTCTTAAACCTCTGAATAGACTTTCATTGGTAATTATTCAAGTTTTCTAATATATAGAATAAAATCTTAAAAGGTTGTGTCTTATTTTCCTGAAGTAGTTCACAGGTTGAAAGAGTCTGTGAGTTAGACTATTTCGTTTAAAGAGATTCAGAAAAAGAAATACTATGAAATAAAACATAATGCTAATACCCCCTTGGCAATAAGGACATTTGAACTTAATAGTCAGCATCTCTTTAGATACTACTTTTCTTCTTGAATTTCCTTTCCATGATGCCCTTGGTCCTCTCTGGTCTGTTTTCTCTTTTGTCCCAATTGTTCTACATATACAAATAGGAATAATGGAACATGCTTGTAAGGATCCTCCAGACAGGTCTTCAGTCTTTGTGGTTTAAAGGAAGCACAACAAAATGATGAATTTACTTCAAGTAAGGATGGATGCCGTGGAATTCAAAGGATTTTTACACCCCTGTTGCTTTTAGGCCCTCTTGACAGTGTCAGTAGTTGAATGGTTGTTGCTACTTGATATATGATGTATGCGTTTGAAATAACAAACTTTAATTTGGTCCCACATTGTAAAGCTTGTCTGGTGCTAATGTACAGGCTGCTTCATAATCCCATGAGATTCCTGCTCGGGATTTATTTAATGACACTATGGCCTTCAGAAATCTAACATTGTCAGGCGTCTACCCGGGGCCTGGTCCAGCTTCCTGTCGTATCTGGAGTCATTTTACAATAGGTCATGCCTTTGTTTGTTCACTCCCAACAAAAATAAGCTGCTCTTTCATGTGACTCCATCAGTTCAAAGTCCATTGTTCTGCTCTGTTGTCTGTAATATTTGGTCGTATAAACTCCAGCCCGTTACCCCCGTTGAGGAAAACAGGAAGTGTTTCCCAAGCCAAATTGAGTCCCTGAGCCGCAGAAGGGCTTCCAGAAATATTCCTATGTTTCTTGCTGCATTTGCCTCTGGCCTTACTTTGTGTGCCTGTTTGTACCTTGTATTTCCAATTCTCCACAGCCACCAGGCGCGCCCTGTCACAGACCCCATGGCTAGTAAAGATCAAAAACTAAAGCTGTCTGTCTTGGACTCCAGAACCTTTTTGAAGCATAGAATATGCAGTACTGCAGTGATGAAGTAACAAAAAGTTCTATTTTGTGGCAAGTCTGATAATAGTAGGAGTTTTTTTGACTCAGTCTGTTCTCTGACCACCACATCTCATTGCCATGACAAGACTGCTTCATTTCCTAAGGATTTTTATTTTAAGTTTCCTATCACTTGTGAAAGAGAAAAATCTTAATTGCCACTTCTAACAATCAGTTTGGTTGGTGAATCTGTTTTATAACTGCTATTTTTACTAAACGTGGTATGAATTACAAGTCATGGGGATGTGGGCAGATATAAATTTTGAGGCATGTGGAATATATCCGCTTTACTTAGAAATGTATTTGGGACCTCTTTTTAGAAAAATATTTCATTTGACTCGTGTAGTGACAGTGAAAGAAACCAGATTCCTGCCCTGCCTTTAGTTTTCTTCTGCTATTTTAGCACATAAGTAGTTAATAAATTACCCCTTCAAACATTCCTTGGCACAGATGAGCTCAAGTTTGGAGAGTGGATTTCATGGAGAATGGGGGCATCAGTGGCCAGCTGTTCATCAACTTGAACTTGCATGTTCCCTAGTGTGGTATAACTGTAACCAGCATTTCATTGCTTTTTGTGTGATTTGAAAGCAACTGTTCAACCCATTCTTCTGACAACTAGAATAATAGCTTCAATTTACCAAAGACCTAATGTGTGTCAGTTAACATAGTCAGCAAAACCTTTTCCAAAAGGAGTTCAAGATCATCCCCCTGTTACAGTTAGGTTCGGTTGAGTCCTTTTACTGCCATAATTTGCCCAGTGGTGAGTCTCTAATACAAATCCAAGTCCAGTTCCACCTGGCCCTTGGTGCTTACTCTCTCCAGATGCCAAGCTTCCACCTCAACTTCATTTTAAGTCTGATGCAGCTGAAGACCATTTCATATTGATGAGCCGGTTTCCAAATGTTCTTCCATATTTGTGCAAAGGCTTAAAACAGTAAGAGACCTCAAAAGAGGTCTCTTTTGAGGAAGAAACATCATCCATCCAGTTAAGAAAACTTACTGAGAGGTTTTCTTCTTTGTAGTGGAGATTCTAGGTAGCAGAATGGCATCTGCTTCACACCACTGCACACACTGGAGAATTGTCAAACCCTGTCTTTTCTGTAGTGAATTGACCCCAGCTCTCCTGTAGCCTTTCCTTCCACCACCTACCTTTCGATGACCTTTTGAAGCTCCTTGTCTTTTAAAAATGTTCAGAGTGATGGCTGTGATCAGCTGCTCTTTTTGATTAGAAAAGAGCCACGTCAAAAAATGCTGTCCCAAAACTCAAAATTTCCCCCTGAAGTTAGTATAAGAATTACATATTTACACATAGATACTTGGCAGTAAAGAAAATGTAGACAAATAGGATCAACTATACCTTCACCTGCCCCTCTCCCGTAGATATACACATACACACAACATTGCAAGAGAGTATAAGAGCCCTATTAGATTTCCAAGATTATAATACTTACAGAAGTAGAATATGATCGCTTTCTTCCACAGAACAACTGGTGGGTTCACACTGTTGGCTTTTCAGTTACTAGCCGAATGCTTTAACCACAGAACCACTAGGTCTCCGTCTTCTGGGCACAAATACACGTAAAATTTTTTACACAGATTTTATTGTTTCTTTTCCTTGAAAATCTCCATTATTGACCCGATGGTCAGGTGACCTTCAGCCACTGAGTGCTTAGCCCATGCTGGTGTGGATGGTGGGAACAGCAGCTACAATTTCATCATAGCCTCTGTGAGTCAGGCCTATACTCAGTGCTGTGGCTTACCTGTCTTATTTCATTCCTGTGGTGATCCTGCAGTACAGGCTACGGTATCCTCATTTCACAGTCGAGGAAACAGGCACAGAACGTGGCCAGGGACAAACAGCAAGGCAAGCATGGCAGTGAGTTTCCCCATTAGGTGTATCTGACTTTGACACCCACATATTCCCACTCCACCATGCAGTTGTAGCTGGCGGTGATGATTGACAAATGGACTTTAACATGCCTCCAGGTCGAGTTGAAAACTTCTGTCCTATGTGGAAACTGAAGGCCAGCATTCACTATCTCTCACCAGCTCTAACATGGCATCCTTTCCTTTCAGTTCTTTTATCCGGAGTTAGTAACTTAATTCTTTATTTGCATCCCTAAGTAGCTAAACACTATGCATTCAAGTGAGCTTTTGGATAGCAAATGGCAATCCTGGGTATTTATATAGCATGTTTCTCCCCAAGTTCTTAACTTAAAAAATATACAGAATCTCTGTACATGCCCTTACTTCCAGCAGTTCCCATGCCTGTTGTTGTTGTTAGGTGTCATCGAGTTCATAGCAACTCATAGCGACCTTATGCGCAGCAGAATGAAACCCTGCCTGATCTTGGGCCAACCTCACTACTGTTGCCACACTTGAGTCCATCGATGCTGCCACTTGGCCAATCCATCTTGCTGGTGGTCTTCCTCTTTTTCTCTGACCCTCCACCTTACCAAACATGATATCCTTCTCCAGTGATTGGTCCCTCCTGACAGTATTTCCGAATTATGAGAGACGAAGTTTGGCCATCTTGGCTTCCAAGGAGCACTCTGGCTGCACTTCTTCCAACACAGATCTATTGGTTCTCTTGAAAGCCCATGGGCACTTTCAGTATTCTCCTCCAACACCATAACTCAAAGGCATCAGTTCTTCTCTGGTCTTCCTTATTCACTATCCAGTTTTCGCATCCATATGAGGTGATTGAAAATACCATTGCTTGGGTCAGGCACACCTTAGTCCTCAAGCTGACATCTTTGCTCTTCAGCACTTTGAAAAGGTCTTGTGCAGCAGATTTTCCTAATGCAATACGTCATCTGATTTCTTGACTACTGCTTCCATGAGTGTTGATAGTTGATCCAAGAAGAATTAAGTCCTTGGCAACTTCAATCTTTTCTCTATTGATCAGA